TTCTGTTTTCAAACTTATTTCTGGTTTAAAAACTCCATTTTAAAATTTTTTTCCTTGTATATTACTTGCTTTAATATTGTACTTAAGTAAGTTTGTAACTTGCAATCTGGTACTGTTACATAAGCTATCAGCTATCCTTAAATTTCGTACCAAAGAAGCCACCGCTCCAATTTTTTAGTTATGCTCACGTGAAGATGAGCCTTCACAAATACTGTTCAGCATTTTAGTTTAAGACTTATGTAAATGTCACTATCAGATTTATTTACATCGTTATAAGTAGCATGATCTATGCTGTACCATGTTGTTATTCCTTATTTTAGATGATTTAGAATTTTATTATTCAAAAATTAAGTATATTTGTTATGAGAACTAAGTATAACGTCATTTATTTAAAAGTTATTGTCATCAATTAATATCCTCAATCGCGAAGGAAACATAATTTGCTGTCTACTGATTTGGTTTCTGGATAGTTCAATTTTTTTTCTCCAATTTTTAATAATAATTAAAAAATTTTTTATGTGTATATATAAATAATAATATAATCAACAATCAAACGTATATTGGTATTTAGTTTTAGAATACGAAACGGCGACCAAAGATTTGATAATTTAACACTTTCTTTTACAATCATGCTTCTATTACTAATTTTTGAAACTAGAAGAATCTGTCGAAAATCTCCTCCTTAAACAACTAATTTTTCATCAAAACGAATATTTATACATTACATAAATCACGTGATACTTTTTAAACTATTTCCAAAACTTTTTTTCATCGCAGAAGCCATATAATTATATAACCAAAATAAGTATATCTACTTTTTCACTTTTTTCTTAGATTTAAACTATGAAAATTAGCTTATAATGCTATTCAAATCTTATAGTAAATATAGTTTCCATGTCTGGTCATCCCATGCTGAAGAAATATTGATGATATATAGGTTTGACAAGTACTTATAAATTACGGGATCGAAGTCCCACTTGAAATATATATAGTGTATATTCAGTCGTTAGTTGTAAGTTTTAAAATATACGAGGTTTTTTCGGTTCATAAAGACAAGGAGGAGCAAAAAGGACATGAGAACTTTCCTCGAAGGGTACGTGTAGACAAGCGGATATGCTGAACAGGTATCTTCAGTGCCTGCCTTGGTGTCACTGCTTTTCAAATTCGGATAGTTCACGTGATGTTTGAACTTTTAAATCAGGATAAGTGTGGCACTAAGTAACTGCCAATTGAAATCTCATGTTTTAAAGGCTGAGGGGGGCATCTCCACCAGTAACACCTGCCGTGGTGTGGAATTTGATAACTAATACTTCTAAATGTTTCAAATGTGAAATGACATACATTACATATCCTATAATTGTATAAGGATTGACTTTGGTGGTAAAAGGAAGTGCTTCTGGCGTAAAGAATTTGTCAACACTTATGTGCATTAGAGCAATAGTTTTCCCAACTCTAAGCAATATTTGATGAAGATATAATTCCATGTAAAGTATGTATGATCTTGTGTTCTTGAAATTTCTTTTTCAACAAATCAGAACAAGAGAAACAAAGCTTTTTTAGATAATTCATGTGGATACTATGAAACCCATCAGCCTTAAATTGCATTCAAAAAGATACAGATTTATAGTTGTGCATTTGCATGATTTCTCTTGACTCACGCTTGCATATCCAATACGGAATAATAGTGACACAACTCTATACCTGGAAGCATTTGTCAAAAGTTCCAGAAATTTATGAAGAAAAGATGTGAAAGTATTAAATCTAAGAACGGATTTTGAAACTGAAGTTTACTTTTCTTTAGAAGTATTGAAAAAAATAGCAACTGAGCTACATCTATCCTTCCCTGACATTCCTCAGTATGTTGGTGTATCGAAACGTTTGAACTAAATCATACAAGGAAAAATAAGAGCCTATATGTATGACTCTCGCTTCCAAAAATACATGGGATCTTGCTATAGGAACTGCAATGTATGCTCACAAGTAAATGACACACAAGTCAAATAATATGGAGATACCAATTAAAGTATCCTTACCATACCACAAATTTGATTTGATACAGATGAAAAAATTAAGCTACGTAACCTACGTTCAAGTCCGAAGGAAGACAGGATCTAAATGCAGTTATGAAGCAAGAAGAACCATTTTCGTTGGATGTAATCAAATAGGTTATCTATGTCTTATATCTGGAGAAGACAAAATCTATGAATGTAGGAACGTCTAATTCAATGAAAAGGTCGTGTATGGTGATTTCTATAAAAAAAAACTGGTATTAAAACAGTTGATTAACTTTCATAAAAAAAGGGAAGAATGTAAAACGAAAACAGAGGAAGACAGTGACACCAAAAGAAGGAGGAGAAGACTGAAAAAAATACAAGCGTATACTGAAAAAAAAAAGTTAGTATAACACATAAGTCATTTGAGGATTGAAAGAAAAAAATACTTACGATTTGCAAGAGACTAAAATGGCCTTCTTACATGGCACTATTTCAGAAGAAATATATGTAGGAATCACTGACAGATTAAATCTACTAGACTGAGTAACAAAAGTACAGTATGCATACTGGAAGAGTCTCTGTGTGGACTTAAAATAATTTCCAAATACTAGTATAAAAAGTTTAGCAAGTTCGTAAACGAAATAAGACTTTTAACTTTTAAAAATTAAACCTGTTTATTTAATTTAAAATCTACTAGTAAGATTCTCATTTTACTACTATGTGTCAATGATATACTATTGGTTAAAAATTGTTTCAATTTATGAACGGGTGTAAAAAGACAGTTAAAAGGGAGATCAAAATGAATGATGTAAGATAAGTTAAAAATTTCTTAGGCTTAAAAGTAACCAGAGATAGAAACACAAACACCATTGAACCGACTCAAGAGAATTACATCACAAAAATCTTGGAGCAATTTAATGTCCACAACTTTCACTATATTTCACAAAGACCGCGAATGGTTATAAACTAAGTGTTGAACAAACAAAGGTAAGAAAGAGAAGAAACTGAGGATGAAAGGATGCGAGATTTAAATGAAACTAAAGACAATATCCTTTATCACGAAGCTATAAGAACTCTTGTTAATTTAGCTTACATAGTCAGATCGCACATGTCTTAAGCTATAAATGTGCTAAGCAAGCATCAGTTGAACACAACAACTGTGGAATATAAGATAATTAAAAGGCTGTTCAGACATATTTAAGCTACAAAAAGAAAAGAACTCACTTTAAGAGCAAAAAAAGTGGCTTATTTTGGTTCAAGTTCTACAGACTATAAAGCATCTTTAACTACAGCGGGATACGTAGTTAGGCTCTACGAAGACTCTGTTGCTTGGAAAACTTACAAACAGAGTAACGACTTTTCATGACCCTGCCAAGCTGAGTACTTAACCATGTATGTTGCTTCAAAACTAATAGAAATCAGATGGATCGACTGTAAAAATAGAATAGCTGATATATTAACAAAACCTCTTTTATTTGAAGTTTATAAAAGGATGACTCAACAAATATTGATTGAATTCAATCGAAGGATGTATATAGGAAGTAATAATATATAATTAAATAGTTTATTTTTCTTTCTTATTTACAGGATCCAAGAATTAATAATCAACGAGGTTTTCAAAGGATATTCTTGATTCTTTTAATTCTATGTCTATATAATTATTAATTTTTAACGATAATTTTGTTTTGATAACAAATAAGATCGAAATAGAGAAACAGAAGGGAGTATATGATTATGATCATAAGATGTTTCTGTATTTCTCTTTGATTGACTTTCTGCCATATACCTAACCCTTTTAACAGGGAGAGTATCCTAAACTTTTTTAACGTAAGCTAGTGGAATTATGAGTCATGCGGTTATCCATAACCATAGTTATATAAATGCTAGTGATTTTTTAGGAGGAGCCCCTAATTGTTATGTTGTGGCTCTGCAATGCGACTTTGATGCTCGAATATTTATATTTAGTATGTAGCACCTGGTTAGCGAGTACGTTTGTGTAAAACAGAATGTAATAAAATTAAATTATTAAACGTAATTTGCCAAAACTTTTACGTACAATGGGTTGTTCGATGCTAACAGCTCTTTTGTGATGACCAGTGTTGTATGATAGTGAGTAATGCGTCGGTAGTTTAACTCGCAAAATGAAAAGCTCAGTTAAATAATTAACAAAATTGGGCTTATTGGCTCGCACACAAATTTGTGACAGTAAGAGCTTAGATAATTTAGATAAATGCTTAAAATTGTAACTTGCTTAAATAATACCACCTACTGGCTTACTGATTATCTGCTTCTTAAGAAAACAGGACGAGCCAAACAGGCACGCTTTAATTAAACCCCAAATCAAATCAATAATCTAAGGCAGGAAAAAGTGTGTCAGAAAGTAAACGTAAATTTGATTACCATATTCTTAGAAAAAGTACAGCTCGCTGACCTTGGCCAGATGGTGAATTTTGACGAGTGGTGATGTCAAGATGCGAAAATTGTTGACAAGTAGGCCACTGATTAATCCAGCTTTCATATTAATCGGTGGTTACGGCTACTAGGTAAGGGACGCCAAATGGTAGTTATTACTAACAGTGGATAGACGTCAAGAAACGTAACACCAGTGAGAATTTTTCGTTATTTTATTTTCTAATCTAGGCTATTATTTAGGTCATTATATTATTTCTTAAAAATTCAACGTTTTTTTTTAAAGATTTTGAAATACAAGAACAGTATTTTTTTAATTATGTAAGTATCTTTTGTCTATTGAGCAATGTATTCTAAAATCAATATGCAAAGATTGGTGTATTAATCTGCTTTCTAACTCTTAATACATTTTTTTTAACTTTATAAGTCATCATCTGACAAATTTGTCTGAATAATTAATTGTTAAAGAAGGTGAAAGTTAGAGTTAAGAATAAGTTGGTTTAAATGGGAAAATTATTTATAGAAACCTACTGATGCGCACGATTTAAGAAAAAATATCGTTATTATATTAAAAATCATGTTTTTTATCTAATACAGATCCAAATATTTTGAATGCCCGACTTCTCATGGAGCTAGTACGACACATTTTGGAGCGTGCTATTGAAAATCAGGGTTGCGCCTCTTCAGCAGCTAAGATATGTATTACAATTATAGAGGTGAGTAAAAATTTCAAGCTTTTAAAAAATTTAATAAAAGAATGTCTAAGAGTAAAACTCATAATTAACAATATTTTTATTTAGAAAGAGATGAAAGAGACATTCTTAGAGTCCTTGCTCAACACATGCCAGCAGTGGTACCAAAATTACAATAAGCAATTTCAACATTTTACTACATATCATCAGTTGTCTGCCTTCATGATATTTCTCAATGAAATGTATTGTCAGGTACGTTTTAATCGGCAATATGTAAGTAATACATTGTAACATGCAAATTACATTAAAAAATTATTATACCTTTTTCTTTACATTCTAAATGAATACGAGCAAGTGTAAGTGCAATGATACTGCTTCCTCGTTGAAGCAAAAAAAGTTGAAAACAATGCAGTGCACTTCTTAATACGTAGCAGAGACTGCTTTATTCTTTAGATTATTTAAATGTGAGTAATAAAATCTTAAAGCTTAAGTTTATTTTCATTCAATAAATGAAAGATGGCTGCATTTATTTTAGAATTTATTTCTTAGAGTAAAAGATTAAAGTGGTCTTGCAATTCCAGTAATCATAGAAAAAAGCGTCATTTAGATTTTTCATGAAGTACAGTGTAGCTTGCTCTTTACATTTTGTCGACTCAGTTGCAGGACATTTGACGTGCTCATCAGTTTCTTTTTTTTTCTTCTCACCTTCTCTCTCTCTCTCTCTCTTTCTCTCTCTCTTTTTCTCGTTCTCTCTCACTCTTTCTTTTTCTCTCTCTCTCTCTCTTTCTCTCTCTCTCTCTCTCTCTCTCTTTCTCTCTGTTTCTCTTCAAGCTCACGTTTTGAATCAAACTCAACAATATATCCACATATTATACAGCTGTATAGACGAAAATGAGTCTCAGTTCCCCCCACTAGCCCCGACAACCACTTAGCAGCCCCTTAATCTTCATAGCTATTTACTTATTTTTTTGTAATTTTAAACCCAATAATATACAAGCAAGCACCCCCCCTGAACCACCTCAACCACAGCTTTCTCGCAGGTTCCTCCACCTTACGCCTGTTCAACTTACTTTTCCCTACTCCATTTTTACTGCCTTCTAAGATACAATTTTCGGTTTATTGAGAACTTAACTGAATTTTAGGAATCGTATTATTAATTCAACTTAATCGCTGCTCTTACAAATTGGTTTTTGAAAATATCATTCAATAACAGTATAAATTGCTGAGAATGAATAAGAAGATTATGTGATGTGTCAAAAATATAAGCTTAATTATGTTCCAAATTATTCCAATTGATGTTCTGAACTACAAAAAAAATTTGAACTATTAATTTACATTGATATCGATTTATAAAGTATACAGCAATATAAGAATTTACATGTTACATAAGTAACCATTTTATATATTAAATTAAAAGACACTTATTTTTATGTGGAGTTGGAGATTGACTCGTGGAGCATGGAGGTGAGCACAGCCTCACTTGTAAATATACATATTGATAAAACGTGACTCATACGGACATTCCTATCTTGGACTTAAGGGGAATTCTGCGGATAAATAAAGAGTTACCTGTTAGATGAGGGGCTGCGAGGGGGGTACTCAAAAATTTTATTGATCTAATTTAACATTGAAATATAAAACAATGTTACCTTTTGTTAAATGGAGCATGAGAGAAAGTCAGGTATGAGGAAGAAAGGCCGCTGAGAGGGGTGTGCATAGCCCCACCGAAATCACTGTATAATATAGACAGATCTATATAGGGGTGTGCGTGTGTGTGCATGTGTGTGTGTGCGTGTATGTGTATGTCTCTTGTGAAAAAATCACTTACGCAGGTTATGTACATATACTTTTACATTAGAGGGGCTCCACCTCCTTGCGTGCTCCACAAACCAACTCTCTCTACACCTCTTATAACGTTGGAATGTATTTAAAAAAATCATTTTTCCTTTTAGTTAAGTACATGTAGCTTTTTTAAGAGTTGAAAATTCAAACAACATTTTTATTTAAAACAAATCTGACAACAAATTTAAAATTCAAAGCGTAGTTTTAAAAGAAGTATTTAATTAGTAAAGAAATTATCTTGAATCTAGCCTGTAAGTTATATATAAATTGATTTAAATCATTATATTTATTTGCATACTAAGTTGTTCGTTGAATGCTAAAAGTAGTAAGAAACTGAAGATGCTCCCATGGCTATTTTAAAGAGAAAAATATATTTTTCGACCATTTTCTTAAAAAACATAGAGTTGTTGATCAGATTTTCTAATTCATTGAAATCTTTATTGCGTTGTAAGGATTTTTCATGTGATCAAAAAATATTGTAACATATGATTGATGATAAATACTTTTTATTGAAAAAATTACTCGGCTTTTTACGGTAGAATTAAGATACAACATTAAAGTTAAAAGCTCTTTCTTAAAATCTTATTTGAATTTATTGAAAGTTGTAAAAAGGAATAAAGCTTTACACACCTTTTTTCTATAACCATTGTAAAAGGTTCCATAAAAAAACTCTTTATTAGTTTTCTCTCTAAAACTACTTTTTACTAACAAATGTGATTATGGATGCACTGCCTGCATCGTGCCCCTAAAATCAATGCCCTTGATTAGCAACACTTCTATGATTATCAGTGTATCTAACTTGAATCTTTTCTTCGATGAATTTTTGCTTGGACTCATTTTTGATGCTCTAAACTGATGTGCATGTAAAATAAAAACAAATGAAAAACAAAAAAGCAAATGAAAAACAAAAAAGCAAATGAAAAATAAAAACCTTTCAGCAGTTCATTAACAATGTTACCAAAAAAAACTTACCATGCCAAGAATTATCATTTATGTGAACTGAAATAAAATTAGTATGAACTTATTTCTGATGACGCCCGTAGTTTTATATATATAAATCAATTTTTAATTTTTTTTATGTATACAATTTATATATTTGAGTTTTGTAAAGTAAGAAAGTATGTATAAAATATATTTTCAAAAGTGAATAATTAAGTACGTTTAAGGTCAGTGGTAGGTGGTGAGGTGTCTGAAAAGAGCAAAAGTCAGAATGATAGAAACGACGCCCGCATACATTTACCATGTTAATTATGTATATGCACACATAAAACCAGCTAATAATGTACACGAATTTATATATGTTTGTAATAGTTTTTTTTCAAATATGTATCTCATGTAGGTTATTAAAAATATAAATTTTAAACATAAAGTATACAGTTACAGATATTTGTGTAAGAAGGTGTCAGGGACCGTAATTGTAAGAAAGGTTTTAGTTAAAATCCACAAAAATAGAGTGGAGGCTGTGGGGGGCCAAGTGAATAAGGAAAAATTTTCTGGGAAGGCACTGAGGGGGTTGTGAGGTAAAAACACGTGCGTTAAAAAATACCCGGTAAAAAATGGCTCTTATAATGGTGTACAATACTAAATGTAATAAATATAAATTAAATCAATAGGAATAATGATGAGTATCTAAAAAACTAAAAAATTCGAAGCAGCTCTTAAACAAACATACACGTTATAATCCACAATGAAACATAACTCTTTGTTTCGTTTGTAACAAATCCAACGGCCTTGGAATTCGGAAATTTTGAAGTATTTTTTAGTTTAATTTTTACTAAAAATTATTTACACAAACGTAAAAATACGTGAGTTCAGGAATACATAATAAAAGCATGGCTTTTGTCCCTAAAAATTTCACTATATGTGATAAGTATTAATAAAATACGAGTCTATGATAAAAAAATAAATTAAAAATATTGTTGCTTACAAATACATTGTAAGCAATACCATAAAAGTATATACATAAAAATACATTATAAATAACCTTTAACTCAAAATTATATAAAAATAGTAACATAAAAATACATCGTAAATAACCTTCAACTCAAAATTGTTGTGAAATTTCATTGGAAGTAGTGCAGAGCATGGAACACTGCCTTATTCAAAAAGTTCTTTTTTCTACCTTGTA